ATGACAGACTTGTCTTTCTATCCTTCCATCTCCAAAACCACAGGCATCATAGCTTCTGCCCAATCATCTTCATCTGTGCTAAAGCCTCTACTAAAACCCTAGTGTCCACCAGCATCACCCATCATAGGCACTCCCCAAATTACCCACACCATTTGAAGGCCAGGACAGTGGCTCACACCTGTAATCCCAAAACTAGTTGTGTGGAAATTGCAGCAGTAACACCGTACAAGCATAGTACATTACCCACAGCACCTTCACATGACGTCGTCTCAGCTCATCTCCCATAGCCCTGGGAGGTGAGCATTGGTCTTGTCACATCCGCTGAGGTGACCTTTGAAGACAGAACTTCTAGAGGTGGAGATGCAGGGGAAGGTACTCCAAGCAGAGGGACCTGCATGAGCTCTTCAACAACCCTCTCCACCCACCTAGCGCTCTGGGTTCCTCTGACCTCTCTGTCCCTTGACTCTTTAAAGAATTGTGGTAAAGCATGTCTGACATAAAATGCACCATTGAAATCCTGTTGAAGTGTACATTTCAGTGTCATTAAGTACATTCACGTTTTTGTACCACCGTCACCACTATCTACCTCCAGAACTCCTTTCATCTTGCAAAACTGAAACTCTGTACCCATTAATAATGTCCCTTGACTCAGTAAGCCTCGAGTGGAAATAGGTCACCATCATGGCTAGCATTATGCCTATGGATTCCCTGACCCACCCCACCCACCTTGGCAAACAGTCTTCTTACTAATCTATCCTCAATGTACTCAATTGAGATGTGGCCTCTGTCTCCTGTTAGACACTGGTACAGCAGCTCTCTGAGGCAATTGCCTACAATTACCTCCTATCTGTGTGGTACAAATGAGAAAACTGAGGCGAGGGAGGCCAAATAACTTGCCCAAGGTCATACAACTATGCTGGGATTTAGACCCCACCCATCTGGTTCCAAGACAGTTGAAACACAAGAAAAGGCTCCAGAACTTTCCACTGACAAGCATGGGAACCCTGTCCAAGCTGACTAGAAACTGGAGCCGGTGGTGACTGGGAGGCTGGAGAGACCTCGGGAGAGGCTGCGGTGTGCCTGGGCAGAGGGGAGCAGAAGCAAGAATCCAGTTTTAGGTACGTGGAGATGGAATAGCATATCCTGAGGAGGGCCCTGCCACTGCTGGTGGCTGCCCCCTGAACTGACCTATGCAGTCCGCTAAGGCTGCCTAGGCAGAAGCTGTGAGGAGCCTCACCAGGGATGAGCTCCAAGGCCAGAGGTGAATCAGATGCTGATGTGGGAGTTTAGGTGTCCTAATCTGTCCCTGGCTGGAACCCCGCTGCCCTGCTGAGCAACATGGTCCGGGTGTGACTGGTGTGACCAAATGGATTTAACCACTGGGGAAAGACTCCTGAGTTTTCCCTCTCCACAAGGCTGCCTTAGTGTATCAACATAAAAGCAAGGTCAGGCAGCGGGGAGGGGGAGAAGAGGGTGGCCAGAGTGTTCTGGAAATCTCAGGACTGGGAAGCAAAGGCAAGGCGAGAAGACACAGAACTGAGAAGATGCTTTCCCTGCTCTGCGGGCTGACTTTACTGGCTGCCTCCTTCCTGCTCCTGAAACTTGGCACCTTCTTCTGGGAAAGAAGTCACCTTCCTCCTGGTCCATTCCCCTTCCCCATCCTTGGAAACCTGTGGCAACTAAGCTTTCAGCTGCACCCGGAAACACTACTCCAGGTAGGGAACCCATCTCACTAAAGGTGGGGGGGACAGATGAACTCTTCTTCTCTCTCAATCCAGAGACAATGGAGATGGCAGGTACTGGGGTGAGCCATGTGTGGGGGTGAATTCTGGTCCTGCTGCTCATGAGCTTGGAGGCCTTGAGCCTCAGTGTCCTCATCTGATGCAGAGTTAATAGGGGATTGTAAAATGTAGAGTTTGTGCAGAGCCTACCTAAGAAGATTCTAGCATAGCAGAAGTCCACTGGAAATGTAACACAATGCTAAAAACTGCATTTAACAGAACTCTGCTCCAGAAGAGCAGTTTGTGGAAGGGAGTTTTCTGAAAAACCATTTGACATGGGAGTTGGGGGGAAATGGGACCCCCAAGGGCACACTCAAGTAACATTACTCAAGTAATTATTGCACAAAGTCACTTCCGGGGTAGACAGATCCATCAGCTGGAGGTTGTCTGTTGGATTGAGTGGGCCAGAGTGGAATTGCTGATGAGAACAATGGTGGGCAGAACACGCTGCCATCCCCATGGCAATGCTCAGGTCTCCTCAATATTTTAAAAATATCTGGTTGAAGATGTCAGATAGTTATGTCCCTTAGGCTCCTTGTGCAATGGAAACAGAACTACAAGGGAGTTGGAAGACCCAAATTCAAGGTCCTTGTCTTTTGCATCATTTTTCTCCTCAGTTTTTAAACTCATAACGTGGAGACAAAGATACCTACTCACACACTTACACTGAGGATGGATGCAAGAAACATACATAAATCCCACACAGGACACCAAGCCCTCAAGAAACTGTGGTCATTATTTAATAGCATCTGCAAAATGGGTAGAACATTCCCATCTCCTAGGACTGATAGGGTATAAGTGCTGGGCTCTATTTCTAGCACACAGGGAGCCTATGTTGCAGGAATGGCATGGGCTGCTCTAAGAAGGTGCCCCGGAGGTGAGTGCCACCTGGTCTCTCCACAGCTGGCCCAGACTCATGGCAGTGTGTTCACTGTGTGGGTGGGCCCGACACCCGTTGTGGTGCTAAACGGCTTCCGGGCAGTGAAGGAAGCGCTGATCTCTAACTCGGAGCAGTTTTCTGGCAGGCCTCTCACCCCACTTTTCCGGGACCTGTTTGGAGAAAGAGGTAAGGCTGCCCTTCCTGTTGGGGAGGGAAGGTGGCTGGAGGTCACACACTCAGGGAGTTGGGCTGGTCCAGAGCTGTTAACAGAGAGGGAACTACCAGGAGGACATGGCTCTCTTCACACACCTCTGTGTGAGGGGCAGGGGTGATGTGGAAGGAACCAGCCTGGGGGCTCAAAAGCCAGGATACATGCCTCAACTCATACCCTTGGAGTTCTGTGACCTTAGGCAAGTCAGCCTCGATCTCTGCCCCTCAGTGTGCTCTTCTATTAGATGGGGATAATGACTGCTCTTACATCCTGAGGACATGGGGGAGATTAAGTGGCCAGATACCTAAGAGTGCCCAGGACAGTGCCTGGCTCCGAAAATGTGCCATTCCCTCCTTTCCTCCCTCCAGGATCCCTCTTCCCTTCCCTTCTTCGTCTCCTCCTCCATTTCTGTGGAGACTCTTAAAGGCACAATCTGGTGAATGAACCAGAGGACAGTATAGCTGAGCCCACCTTGAGGGCACCAAACTCACTGACCGTCCCCCCCCCAAATATCCCTCACTCATTGGTAAGGGTGGTTGGGAAGGTCATTTTTGGTGTGCCCTCTATGCCTGAGCGAGAGCCAAGTGGTCTTGGCCTGGGAGGTTGGGAGGCTGGTGATTGTCCAACGCACCCCGCTTTGGACCCAGGGATCATCTGCAGCAACGGACACACGTGGCGGCAACAGAGACGCTTCTGCCTGGTGACGCTCAGAGGGCTGGGCCTAGGCAAGCTGGCGCTGGAGGTGCAGCTGCAGGAGGAGGCCACACAGCTGGCTGAAGCCTTCCACTGGGAGCAAGGTAAGAAGCAGGCTGGGGCAGGCCAGACAGGCCTACCCTAACCCCCATCCTATGCATATGCACACCCCCGCAGAGGAGGCTGAGCCTTACTGCACATGTGTGTTTGTGTGTGCACATGTCCACGGATCCTGGGAATGTTAACAGCAGTTTCAAGCAGCTTTGATGGAGTGGGAGCTTCTCCAAGCTGGGTGGACAGAGACCCAGGAACACCCAGGTCACTGGGAAGCCAGAAGCCATCTTCTCTACAGCTGGGGAAGTATTCTACATCAACACCCAAGACCTTTCAAACCTCCAGCCTTTTGCACTTTCTGCTCCCTCTTCCAGAATGTTCTAGCCCAGACCCCTTCCCACCCTGTGAACAAATACTGCTCCTTCTTTCAGACCTGGCTGAGGTTGCCTGACCTGAGAAGTCCGTGCTGAATCCCAAGCACAGCTCGTCCCCCACCCTTTGCTCACAGCTGTGACAAAGCTGCCCTGCATTTTGTTGTTATTTAAATGGCTGTCTCCCAAGCCTCTCTGTAAATTCGGTACCTGTCACAGAGCCAGGCTCATAGGAAATGCTCAGTAAGCATTACCTGAGTGCTTGAATGAGGAGTGAGAATGAATGATTGAATGAGTGAACGACTATATAGAAGATTGGATAGGTGCTCAGGGCAGGGATCTTGGTGCCTCCTCACTCCGAGCCCTGCCCCTCTGTTCTCAGGCAGGCCCTTCAACCCTCAGCCACTCATTGTCAAGTCTACAGCCAGAGTCATTGGGGCCCTTGTGTTTGGCCGTCGCTTCCTATCAGAGGATCCCACCTTCCAGGAACTGATACAAGCCATCGACTTTGGCCTGGCCTTTGTCAGCACAGTGTGGCGTCGGGTAATTGTCATTTGGGGAGGCAGGTTCGCAGGCCATTGGACAGCAGAGGGCCTGAGGCTGGCAAAGGCCTTAGCCAGGGCCTGGCAGGGAGGGGATGGGGTGGGTTGGAGGGAGGCTGCAGGGTCTGATTCTGGGTTCCTTAGGTGGCTTCTGCTCAGTGAGCTGACAAGTTTGCAGCATCAAGCCTCCTTCGATGTGGTTCAGCATGAATGTATGAGCAAGGAGTGAAAGCCAGGTGTTATCTACCCAGAAACTCAGCTTTCTGGGCCTGCATTGTCCTAGCTGAGCCCTAAGCCCATTTACTGCTACCACTGCTTTTATTTCTGTCTAGATTATTCTGGGGTCTCCGAGGAAAGGCAGCCCTGGATGCCTATGTCAGAGGCTGCAACCCACTTTTGGGACCCCCAACTCAGGGGCTGACACCTGAGTAGGACCTGTGTGGGCCTCTCTCCCTACAGCTGTACGACATGTTTCCCTGGGCCCTCCACCACCTCCCAGGGCCCCATCAGGAGATATTTAGGTACCAAGAGACTGTGCGGGGCTTCGTCCATCAGGAGATCATCAGGCACAAGCTTAGGGCACCTGAGGACCCCAAGGACTTCATCAGCTGTTATCTGGCCCAGATCACCAAGGTGGGCCTGCAATAGCTGCAGAGGAAAGGAGGGGTCTGTCTTTCCAGGCTGCACCTTGTTTCTAAGCTATGGTCTCTGTTCCTCATCTTTGACTGGATCTACAAGCTTTCAGAGCACCCTGAGACTTGGGATTAAAATAGGGTTTTCCTTCTTATCTTTTTCTAGGCCGGGCTGGCTTCTGCACACAGGGGTAGAGTGGGAAGCAGAGGGCCTGGCTGATATCAGGGCCAGAACCTCGGGGCACTCCCCCATCAAAAGTCAATGCGGTCCTGGGACTCCCCCTTCCTGAGGAGTTAAACACCCAGGAAGTTCTGGTCTTGCAAGTCTCAGAACAGGTCAGGCCTTAAGGAGACAAGAGGGTTCTGTTAGGAGAGAACTTTAGACCTGGAACTGCTCCCCTGCCTACCCATCCCCCAACCACCAGGCCATGGATGACCCCGTCTCCACATTCAATGAGGAGAACCTGCTCCAGGTGGTGATCGACCTGTTTCTGGGAGGCACTGACACCACGGCCACCACCCTGCACTGGGCACTCATCTACATGGTCCAGCATGAAGCCGTCCAGGGTGAGGAGTCCTCGGTTACAGCCTGCTGACTGCCCCACGCCTGCTACCCCTGCGTGGGGCTTCTGGGCTGTGGACACCACCCCAATCACTCTCTTGGCTCTGTGGCGCTAGGGGTAGGTACTGCTCCCACTGCTGTGGTCCAGGAAGTTCTTATGGCTTCAAGTCAGTTCATGGCTTCAGTCCCACCCTGCTACTTACTGTGTGATCTTGAGCAAGTCATTCCAGTATAAAATGGGTGACGTGATTTTGCTCATTCAGTACCTTATAAGTGCCAGGCCCTATGCTATTGTCCACCTCAAGATCACAATTGTGGCCAGGTGCAGTGGCTCCAGTCTGTAATCCCAGCATTTTGGGAGGCTGAGACAAGGGATTGCCTGAGCCTGCAGGTTCAAGACCAGCCCAGGCAAGACCTCGTCTCTACAATAAATAAAAAATTAGCCGGCGTGGTAGTGTACACCCATAATTCTGGCTACTTGGAAGGCTGAGGTGGAAGGATCACCTGAGCCCAGCAGGTCGATGCTGGGGTCCATGAGTGCGCATGCCACTGCACTTCAGCCTGGGTGACAAAGTGAGACTCCAACTCAAAAAAAAAAAAATCACAATTGTGGAGGGAAAAAAGTGACTGGAATTCTCTCAGGGACAAACTATGACCTTAGTTTAATGACTATATTTGTGTGTGTGTGTGTGTGTGTGTGTGTGCACACACACACACATATATATATTTAGTCATTAAACTATATATGGGTGCTCCCATATATTAAACATATTGGATGCGCCAATATGGGTCCTTTCCCTTTTTCCTGGAGGAGGAAACCCCTAATTCTTGTTCCTAAGAAGCAAGCTCTGCCTCAGAGAAGGGTCTGCTCCCATGTGACCCGGGGTGGTGATGGGGGGGTGACTTAGGGGCCATGAGTCTGTGCAGCAGTTTCTGGGTGGGGATGAGGATGGGATAGGGAGGGGCCAGGCCACAGGCCCTTCCCAGACCCACATTGAGCCATCTGCAGAGAGAGTGCAGCAGGAGCTGGACAAAGTGCTAGACACTGCCCGGGCTGTCCACTACGAAGACCGTGAGCGGCTGCCCTACACCCGTGCCGTCCTCCACGAGGTGCAGCGCCTCAGCAGTGTTGTGGCCGTGGGTGCCGTGCGCCAGTGTGTGACCTCCACCCGTGTGGGTGGCTATCCGATGCCCAAGGTAGGCAGCCCTACATGGCCCCGTGTCTGCGCCAGTGCCTGCAGAAAGTGCCCTTCCTGTGGACAGAAGGCACAGGAAGGGCACAGTCATCTGCCAACCTGCCAGCTCTCAATCAATCAATCAGCCATGCATCTATCTATCTACTCACCCACCTAATCTATCATCTATTTATTTATCTATCACATTTGGGATAGGAGTTACAATTATAAAAGAATGCCTGTTGCTGAGGGATAATTTTTTTTTTTTTTTGAGTTGGAGTCTCACTCTGTCGCCCAGACTAGAGTGCAGTGGCGGCCACTGCAGCCTCGACCTGCTGGACTCCGGCGATCCTTCCGCCTCAGCCTCCCGAGTAGCTGGAATTACAGGCATGCGCTACCACGCCCAGCTGATTTTTTGATTTATTGTAGAGATGAGGTCTCGCTGCCCAGGTGGGTCTCAAACCCGCGGGCTCAGGCAATCCACTCACCTCAGCCTCCCAAAGGCGCAGGATTACAGGCTGAGCCACCGAGCTCAGCTTGAGGGATAATTTTTAAAGTTTCTTATTGTTTACAGATAACCCTTGCAGACATTATAATGGACCTTTTCCCAATCTTTTTTTTTTTTTGCCACATGATTTTACACAGTTGCCATTGTGCTGAATACATCACTCTGAATTCTTCATTTCACTTGATATGTTATTCAGATTCTTCTACAGCGGTAGTTCTCAAATCTCCAGGTGCATCAGAATCACCTGGAGGGCTAGTTAAAGCAGACATTGCTGGGATCCACCCCCAGAGTGTCTGGGGTGGGCCTGAGAACTAACCTTCCTAACAGGTCTCATAGGTAGTGCTGATGCTGTGGGTCCAGGGACCACCTTTGAAAACTACTGCTCTGCATTGCTCTTAATGGCTGCATAGTGTTCCATCAAATGGATGTTTTGTAATGTTTAACCCTTGTTGGTGAGCATTTAGGCTACAGGCAATTTATGTGCCGTAGGTTTGGTCTGCATTTTGTACTAATTTCCTTAGAACTTGATTGCTGACAGAAATGCCTTTCTTGTTTCTTTCATTTTATAACAAGATTAAGAGAATAAGTACTAAATAAGGAGAGAGAGGAAACGAGTTTTATAAAAATAACTCAAGTCAACATCAGCTACTATACGTGTACATAAAACTTGAGTTTGAGCTTCCTTGGAGTCAGGGCAAAAATGAGTTATGAGTTATGACTCTTATTATGTAATAAAAAGATTCATGACTGTGTCAGGAAAGTTTTAACTAACCATACAAGAAGTTATGATGAAGATCATTCCTAATATTCTTGGAAGGCCAGTGGGCAATGTATTGGGTAATACCTTAAGTAGGAGTTTTTTTTTTTTTTTAAGGATTTATTGAGAGGATAGAAAAGCTCCCACAGGGTAGGGGACTTGAGGGGGTTACCCAAGTAAGAGTTTTTTAAAGATACAGGGCTGTTGGGCATGGTGGCTTACACCTATAATCCCAGCACTTCGGGAGGTTGAGGTGAGAGGATTGCCTGAGCCCATGGGTTGGATACCAGCCGAGGAACTTGGCGAGACCGCATCTCTACCATAAATTAAAAAAAAAAAAAAAAAGAAAAGAAAAGAAACTAGCTGGACTCAGTGGCTCAGCTTGTAATCCCGCACCTTGGGAAGCTGAGGTGAGTGGATTGCCTGAGCCCGCGGGTTCGAGACCCACCTGGGCAACTTTGAGAGACCTCATCTCTACAATAAATCAAAAATTAGCCAGGCATGGTAGTGCACGCCTGTAGTTCCAGCTACTCGGAAGGCTGAGGCGGAAGGATCGCCGGAGCCCAGCAGGTCAAGGCTGCAGTGGCCAGGAGCGGCCACTGCACTCCAGTTTGGGCGACAGAGTGAGACTCTGACTCAAAAAAAAAACTAGCTGGGTCTGGTAGTGCACACCTGTAGTCCCAGCTACTGGGAAAGCTGAGGTGGAAGGATCGCCTGAGCCCAGCAGGTAGACACTGGGGTGGCCATGAGCATGCCACTGCACTCCAGTCTAGGCGACAGAGTGACTCCAACTCCAAAAAAAAAAAAAAAAAAAAAAGAGAAAAAAAGATACAGGGCTGTATGTGGTGGCTCATGCTGGTAATCCCAGTACTTTAGGAGACCGAGGTGGGAGGATTGCTTGAGCCCAGGAGTTTAAGACCAGCCTGGGCAACATAGTGAGACCCAATCACTACAAATATATTTTTAAAAATTAGTCAGGCATGGTGGTGGGTGTCTGTAGTCCCAGCTCTTGAGAGGGTGAGGCAGAAGCATCGCCAGAGCCCAGAAGTTGAAGATACAGTGAGCCATGATTGTGCCACTGCACTCTAGCCTGGGTGACATATGAGACCCTGACTACAAAAATACACACACACACACACACACACACATAATATATAAATATTATTCAAAATGGTAGTTGCTTCTTATTTCAACCCTGTTTAAGAGATAAAAGTTGAACTTGAATTCATCCCTACAGGGAGTTGAAGTTTTTTCTCTGGTCATCCATCTTGAGACAGGTTTCTAACATGAGCTGGACAATAAATGACATACTACTACCTGCTCTCTGCTAAGCCTTACTGCTTGCTGAGGATTTTGTGTCCACTGAGTCATTAGCATGATGGTGCTCTGCATTATCGATTCAGCCAGGCAGCTCCTACACAACAGGTGTCATATTACGTATCTATCTTATGTAAGAAATTACTCCCAAATTTAGCAGCTTAGACCAACAGTATTTGTAATTTTGCAGTTTCTGAGTGTCCAGGAAGCTGGGTGCAGCTTAACCGGAGACCTCTCATTCAAGGTCTCTCATGAGGTTCCCATCGAGCTATTGGTGGGGCTGCAGTGTCATCTAAGCCTGTCCTAGGAAGGCTCCACTCCCAGCTCACTCACTTGGATGTCTTCAGGACCCAGTTGTTCATGCATTGTTGGCTGGAGACCACCCTCAGTGCCTTGACACATGGCCTCTGCATAGGGCAGCCCAAAGCATGGCAGTTGATCTCCATCAGAGCAAACAAGAGAACACCCAAAGCAGAAGCAGCAGTCTCTTTGCAACCTCATCTCAGACGTGATACCCCATTGTTTTAGCTATATATTACTTGTTAGATGTGGGTTACTAGATCCAGCCCACCCTCAAAGGGAGGGAGTTACACATGGTGTGAATCCCAGGAGTCGACGATCATTGGGGGAAACATACTACAGTTGTGTAGGTGGCAAGGCTGGTAGTTCAAAAAAATGAAACAGTCACTAATCTTGGTGCCCTGGTGCAGGGTGACCCCTCTGAGCTTAGAGGTAGTAGCCAGAGTCCCAGGACTTTTCTCAGAAAAGGGTTTTCACTTTGTCCTGATGCTCCAGCTTGTCTCTAGTGGAAGCTGAAGCTGCAATGGTGCAACGCGGCACACTAGGAAAGTGATGGGGAGAGCAGGTGTGGGGCCCAGCCTTCTCCATCATGCGAGTCTTTGTTCAGCGCTTGACACCATGGCTCGAGGCAGACTTAACTCCAAGAGCCCCACCAGGATGCCAGGATTAACTTAACTATTAACTTGATCAGACTTAAGAGTTCCACCCCCACACATTTCTTCTTCCCAGCAACCCTGTCCTTTAGATGCTGCTGTTGTTCCTCTTCTTTTTTTTTTGAGTTGGATTCTCACTCTGTCGCCCAGACTGGAGTGCAGTGACCGCTCCT